GCGGAGCGGCGGCCGGCGGGACCCTGCTCGCCCGAGTGCTACGAGGAGATCGTGGCGCTGGAGCAGGCGGAGGATCGCATCGCCAAGCTGGAGGAGGAGAACGGCAGCCTGCGGGAGCTGGTGGAGGACATGCGGGCCGCCCTGCAGAGCAGCGACGCCCGCTGCCTGGCCCTGCAGGTGAGTGCGCCGCTAATCACCTCCTCCCTCAGTAACGGGGAAGGTGTTGCTCCGGTAAAGCTACTAAAGCTAAATCCGGTGTTAAAAACCATCCCCAGACCCGTTCCGAAAAGGAGCACGGCACGGAGCGAGGCTGCTCCTTCCCCTCCAGCATCAACTTCTTAGCAAAGTTTGGTTACATGGAGTCTTTAAGGAGAAATGTTGTGTTTTCAGCAGTGGGACGTTACCTCTGTTTAGGGGACGCACTGAAAACCACCCTGCCAAACTGATGTCTTCTACAATTTTAACAATCCTAAGTGTATATACAACACTTTTCCTATGGCACAGGCAGTCAGTCAGTCCCAGAGCAGTTAGCACCGCTGTGGGGTTGCTTCCAAAGTAAGAAAGAACTTTTTGGTTCTTACCTGCGCCACCACATTTAATGACCCAGCCATAAATGCCCAAGAGCTCTCCACCTCAGGAACATCAGGAGTGTGTCTTCTCCAGAGCGTGGCCGTGCAAGTCGAGGGTGGGAGCCAGCCCCACCAAGGGGCTGATGAGCAGTCCCTGGTCCTGCAGAGCCCCGTTACCTCGGGGGCTGGTTTCTCTACTGGCCCAAGCGAAACACAGAATCACAGAATCTTCTAGGTTGGAAGGGACCTTAAAGATCATCTTGTCCAACCGTCAACCTAACTGACAAAAATAGACACCCACACAACAAACAGGGAGCATCATCACTAAACCATACCTCCCAGCACTTCATCAACCTGTCTTTTGAACACCTCCAGGGATGGTGCCTCAACCACCTCCCTGGGCAGCCCATTCCAATGCCTGATAACCTTTTCAGTGAAAAAATTTTTCCTAATATCCAGCCTGAACCTCCCCTGGTGTAACTTGAGGCCATTTCCTCTCGTCCTGTCGCCTGTGACCTGGGAGAAGAGACCGACCCCCACCTCTCTACACCCTCCTTTCAGGGAGTTGGAGAGAGCAATAAGGTCTCCCCTCAGCCTCCTCTTCTCCAGGCTGAATAACCCCAGCTCCCTCAGCCTCTCCTCATAAGACTTGTGCTCCAGACCCCTCACCAGCTTTGTTGCCCTTCTCTGGACCCGCTCCAGCAGGGGGCCCAAAACACACACCTACTTAACCCAGTTAAATTACTCCGGCATGAAACAGCACGGAGCAGGCAACGGGCTGGGCTCACCGAGACTCCTGGGGGGGCTGATCAGGTTGGGTTGAACCCTAACATGGTGCTCAGGGACCTCTGCTCCAGGCGTGACACCACCATCGGCGGTAGCCGCCTGTCCAGCTCCCCAGCCTCCGGCACGGCAGGTGAAAGCCACTTCTACCATCTTCATGTGAAAAGTGAAAGGAAGTCACAACCAAACACGGAGCCACCACTCAGAGGCCCCAGAGAGAATCAGGAGGAGGACAAAGATCAGAGGTGCAGAGCACCACCAGCTGCTCTTTGCTCACTGTCTACCCAACATGACTTAGAATATTTCCAGTTATGTTTTTTAGTCTGCCTTTTGAGGGCAGACTAAAATAATGACGTTAAAGCTATACAGAAACCTGTGCAATAACCTAATTTTCCACTTCGATGAGTAGCTTTAAAATTAAATTTCAAATTAAATGTACATATTTAAAAACTACTTTCCAGAGATTGTTTCCGTGTCTCTGTATTTCACAAAGGAGCTTATTAGTTACTGATCAACTATGTGTCATTGAAAAAACCCCAACAAAACACAATCCAGCCATTTTCAGTCTTGACTAAAACATCAGTTGCTTTAAAACACATTAATTTCTCCCTGCTTTCTGCTCCTGTTCGTTACAGGTAGGACTGCGGAAATGCCATGCTAGCCATAAGGAAGAGGGGACCTGTTTTATAGGGACTAATAGACAATTAATGCAGAACCACTCCCAGACCAAGTGCCTTCAAAGTGTCCTGAAGGAGGTGGAACTCATCCGGAGCTCCAGGGATGGGCAAATCGAAGAAGCAATGAGGTTCAATCAAGAGCTGGAAAGAGAGCTGAAGAGCTCTCAGGAGGCTCTGGTCAATCTGGAAGACTGCAACCGTAACCTCAAGAGGGAACAAGCAGAAATGAGGAAGAAGGTTGAAGAGGCGAGACACGCTGTCCTCAACAGTCTTGGCAAAGTGAAGGAGCTGGAGGTGAAAGCTAACGAAGTGCCACATCTGCAAATTTACATTCAGCAGCTGGAATCGGAACTGCAGCGCTACAGGTAAGTTCCACCCTCAAAAAATGCCTATAAAATCACAGTATTGGAACAGAAGTTAGCTTGAAGATCACTGGTGGGAGCTTATTAAATATCTCCAAATAGCCACAAAAGAAGTCCTTCAGAATCCTTTTCCAACACATCTACTTTTTCACTTTGACTACTATCCATTCAGACATTTCCTGCTAGTTAAGTCCCACACCCAAAGCCAGCTGTGATCAGATGGCTGATACTCTACTTCTTATGAAAGCTGTTCAGCTTCTCAAACAAATTGGAGAAGAACACACAAGGCCAACTTCTGGCCTCCAGTTTCAACTCTGCTGTGACTTCATCACTTCACTGACAGAGTATGTCATACGCCAGAAAAGAAAAGCTAAAAGGCTTTCCTAAACCCATACGATAATATAGTGGGAGTCTCAAACAAAAAAAATACATTCTCCAACTACACCCCACTTTTGGAAACATATTTATGTATCCTATTACAAAACTCAGAACGTTGGTCACAAATAGCTCACTGATTTTGTTGCTTTTTATCTCAGATAAAGGTCCCACAGAGCCCCGTTACCTCGGGGGCTGGTTTCTCTACTGGCCCAAGCGAAACACAGAATCACAGAATCTTCTAGGTTGGAAGGGACCTTAAAGATCATCTTGTCCAACCATCAACCTAACTGACAAAAATAGACACCCACACAACAAACAGGGAGCATCATCACTAAACCAGACCTCCCAGCACTTCATCAACCTGTCTTTTGAGCACCTCCAGGGATGGTGCCTCAACCACCTCCCTGGGCAGCCCATTCCAATGCCTGATAACCTTTTCAGTGAAAAAATTTTTCCTAATATCCAGCCTGAACCTCCCCTGGTGTAACTTGAGGCCATTTCCTCTCGTCCTGTCGCCTGTGACCTGGGAGAAGAGACCGACCCCCACCTCTCTACACCCTCCTTTCAGGGAGTTGGAGAGAGCAATAAGGTCTCCCCTCAGCCTCCTCTTCTCCAGGCTGAATAACCCCAGCTCCCTCAGCCTCTCCTCATAAGACTTGTGCTCCAGACCCCTCACCAGCTTTGTTGCCCTTCTCTGGACCCGCTCCAGCAGGGGGCCCAAAACACACACCTACTTAACCCAGTTAAATTACTCTGGCATGAAACAGCACGGAGCAGGCAACGGGCTGGGCTCACCGAGACTCCTGGAGGGGCCGATCAGGTTGGGTTGAACCCTAACATGGTGCTCAGGGACCTCTGCTCCAGGCGTGACACCACCATCGGCGGTAGCCGCCTGTCCAGCTCCCCAGCCTCCGGCACGGCAGGTGAAAGCCACTTCTACCATCTTCATGTGAAAAGTGAAAGGAAGTCACAACCAAACACGGAGCCACCACTCAGAGGCCCCAGAGAGAATCAGGAGGAGGACAAAGATCAGAGGTGCAGAGCACCACCAGCTGCTCTTTGCTCACTGTCTACCCAACATGACTTAGAATATTTCCAGTTATGTTTTTTAGTCTGCCTTTTGAGGGCAGACTAAAATAATGACGTTAAAGCTATACAGAAACCTGTGCAATAACCTAATTTTCCACTTCGATGAGTAGCTTTAAAATTAAATTTCAAATTAAATGTACATATTTAAAAACTACTTTCCAGAGATTGTTTCCGTGTCTCTGTATTTCACAAAGGAGCTTATTAGTTACTGATCAACTATGTGTCATTGAAAAAACCTCAACAAAACACAATCCAGCCATTTTCAGTCTTGACTAAAACATCAGTTGCTTTAAAACACATTAATTTCTCCCTGCTTTCTGCTCCTGTTCGTTACAGGTAGGACTGCGGAAATGCCATGCTAGCCATAAGGAAGAGGGGACCTGTTTTATAGGGACTAATAGACAATTAATGCAGAACCACTCCCAGACCAAGTGCCTTCAAAGTGTCCTGAAGGAGGTGGAACTCATCCGGAGCTCCAGGGATGGGCAAATCGAAGAAGCAATGAGGTTCAATCAAGAGCTGGAAAGAGAGCTGAAGAGCTCTCAGGAGGCTCTGGTCAATCTGGAAGACTGCAACCGTAACCTCAAGAGGGAACAAGCAGAAATGAGGAAGAAGGTTGAAGAGGCGAGACACGCTGTCCTCAACAGTCTTGGCAAAGTGAAGGAGCTGGAGGTGAAAGCTAACGAAGTGCCACATCTGCAAATTTACATTCAGCAGCTGGAATCGGAACTGCAGCGCTACAGGTAAGTTCCACCCTCAAAAAATGCCTATAAAATCACAGTATTGGAACAGAAGTTAGCTTGAAGATCACTGGTGGGAGCTTATTAAATATCTCCAAATAGCCACAAAAGAAGTCCTTCAGAATCCTTTTCCAACACATCTACTTTTTCACTTTGACTACTATCCATTCAGACATTTCCTGCTAGTTAAGTCCCACACCCAAAGCCAGCTGTGATCAGATGGCTGATACTCTACTTCTTATGAAAGCTGTTCAGCTCAAACAAATTGGAGAAGAACACACAAGGCCAACTTCTGGCCTCCAGTTTCAACTCTGCTGTGACTTCATCACTTCACTGACAGAGTATGTCATACGCCAGAAAAGTAAAGTTAAAACGCTTTCCCAAACCCACACAATAATATAGTGGGAGTCTCAAACAAACAAAAAAATTCTCCAGCTACACCCCACTTTTGGAAACGTATTTATGTACCCTATTACAAAACTCAGAACGTTAGTCACAAATTTATTAGCTTGCTGGTTTTGTTGCTTTTTATCTCAGATAAAACTTGGGCTGATTGATGGTTACTAAGCGCCAGACAATTCTGCCCAAGTTTCAAACTGCCTATGGAGTAAAATGTTGCTTATATTTTTACTGACTCAAAGTAAAACTATTATTTCATATTTTTTTCCTAACTGTACTAAAACTAGTATTTTAATATATTGTCTGTTTTGAACTCCTAGACTCTTCCTAATCTTATACTTCCTCTGTTTGCTTATAAGAAGAATTCATAGGGAGTTATTTGTAGCATCATAGCCATTGTACTGCTTTATGAAGGGAGGAAATTCTAAAAATAATCATTTTATCCGGTGTCTTTCTGTAAGCATTGTGTATGTTAATACCTGTGGGCTGGCAGAAGATAAAAGCATTTATTTAAACATCTATAGGATTTTTAAAACACTGTGAGGGCACGTGGTGTCCAAGATGACTGTCGTTTATGGGAATATCTGAGTGAATGATACAACTCTTAGTGCTGAGATAGACCATACTATTTTTCTAGTCCACCAAAGTCCCCCTGACATAAGCACCAATGAAGTTAAGTTCTTGTCCTGCAAAATTGCTTTTCCAAAGTACCACCAAGTGTAAAAAATCACCTTTAAGCAAGTAGAGGTGAACCAGTTAAAGACAGAAAGAAATGTCACCTGGGCCTTGCAGAGCAGGAACTTTTTTTTTTCCTAACTGTACTAAAACTAGTATTTTAATATATTGTCTGTTTTGAACTCCTAGACTCTTCCTAATCTTATACTTCCTCTGTTTGCTTATAAGAAGAATTCATAGGGAGTTATTTGTAGCATCATAGCCATTGTACTGCTTTATGAAGGGAGGAAATTCTAAAAATAATCATTTTATCCGGTGTCTTTCTGTAAGCATTGTGTATGTTAATACCTGTGGGCTGGCAGAAGATAAAAGCATTTATTTAAACATCTATAGGATTTTTAAAACACTGTGAGGGCACGTGGTGTCCAAGATGACTGTCGTTTATGGGAATATCTGAGTGAATGATACAACTCTTAGTGCTGAGATAGACCATACTATTTTTCTAGTCCACCAAAGTCCCCCTGACATAAGCACCAATGAAGTTAAGTTCTTGCCCTGCAAAATTGCTTTTCCAAAGTACGACCAAGTGTAAAAAATCACCTTTAAGCAGGTAGAGGTGAACTAGTTAAAGACAGAAAGAAATGTCACCCGGGCCTTGCAGAGCAGGAACTTTTAATGGGTTACATCAAAACAAACAGTGTGAGTTTAAACATGTAAATTACATGTTCTTTGCAAGATAATCTTCCTCTGTAATATTAATTTTAAAATTCCACGCTAATTTCAAGTGAGTGTAAAGCTCAGGAATGGTGCTAGACTGGACATTGGGAAACTACACCCCTTTTTTTAGCCCTGCTGTATGTTTAGCACAGGACCAGGCAGCTTCCACGGGCAAGACCCTTTAGTAGGTCTCGACTGTGTTTGCCATAAAGCGCTTCCATCCCCCTGGCCGTGCAACACGGCTCTTAAACAGTTTAACAGCAGAACCACGTACTGATGATTGAGACTCGCAGGCCTGTGGTCATATTCCACAGCTCCACAGTACATGGAATACCATAATTCCACATATTTCACCGTGTGACACGGAGATGCCCAAACTGGCAGCCAATAGGTAAGTTCAGCAGCACGGAGCTCAATGTTACTGTGATAAAGAGCTTAACAGCAGTAAGGGTCTCTGCCCTCACCACCTTCAGCATCACCGCTCGTCCCACTCACTTTACTCACTTACACTCCTGCTTCAGGTGGCAAAAATTCCTTCTGCTCATAAAGAATCATCTTCTCCCGTGGAACAGAACCCCAAAAACCCATGGGCATAGTTTGGGTGAGGTGTTAAGAAGTACATGTTGGGGGAGAGATGATGAGTCGGCCACGGTGCAGACATGGAGGGACAGCTGATACATCCCACCGGTTTCTCAGTCAGCTGGCAAGTGTATTACTTAGAATGTTATTTAAGTCAATATGTATTTAAGTTTAAACTCCAGTGAGCAGTTTTCTCCATTTGCAAGTACCACAAAAAGTTTGTAAGCATCTAAGCAGGACTGAGGTTTGGCAAGAACTCATGCTGCAAGGTAGAGGCAGAAAGAAATGAGTGGGGATTTGACTCTACTGCAGAAAGCATTTAAGGTTGCAGATTTGACTCCTGAGAATTCACCTTAGCTGGCTTGGTGTGGCCACTGTTTTACTTCAGCCAAGTCTAATTTCTTCCAGAGAGGATCATCTTCAAGCAAAGAGACCGCTCTCTGAGTTTTTCATGCTGCTTCTATTTATAATTTTGCATTTCTAAAGCAAAGAAGAAAATGCTGTCTCCTTTTTGTTTCAGATTTTTTAAACTCTTTACACATCTAAATCCCACTTCTAGACCTTCCCCCTTACACCAACTTGCTCTCAGCTAGGCCTGTAATCACAACAATGACCTTAAATTATAATTCCTAACTCAGGAAGCAACATAGTTTGCATCTATTCAGGAAAGCATTTAAATACTTGCAAGTGATTAAGTGTTTTCCTGAATTGGGGTACCTAATTACAGTTGCCTTTTCTGACCACAGATTCATATTCCTGCAAATTTAATGCAAAATGTTGCTGTCAACATCTCTGGTAAATGTTTGCTGACTGGGGGTTGTATGACTTAAGTACACAGGTTCCTCAATCAGGGTTTGAAACGTCCCTGTCACGTTACTCAGGCTCTGAAGCCAACCTCGTTGACCAAATAGTTTCTAGATCCTTCTTGTCTCAAGGTGCAGACCCTGTTCATCCTACACTGGAGACACATCTCTGGTTTTGGTTCCCTATTTTCTCCACCACTAGAAGTTTGTACTATTTTTTATTTTTAATCCTTGTCAATTTAATGAGTCAGCTCAGATACTTTAAAGGTAAATTTCAAGAGATTCCTTACCGGAAAGCATGAGTTTGCTTCATTTCAGAGCAAAAAGACGCGTCACAAGAAATTGTATACTTTATCATTGCTATTATATCAAAAATGCATAATTCACAACGCCAGCATAGAGAAGAGTTTAGGAAGTCATGGAAGCCCCATTTTTTTTTACGAAGTGCTGCCCAGAGAGCTATTCTCATTTTCTACCACTGCACTTGATTTCATTTCCCCAGGACCTTTCATTTGTTATTACTGAAGCTCAGCTTTTTCATTTTTGGACTACTCTTCCAGTTTCTCAAAATGATACTGGGACTAACCTCCAAATTGCTGCTATTTCCTCCCAGCTTGGTGTCAGTTGCACATTTGTAATTTCTCTTTCCAAAGCTGGCAGCCTAAATGAACACACTGGCTAGTTCCCAGGACAGATTCTGGTGACCTCCTCTTGATACACTCTCATTATTTGAGAGCAAATCATTAACAGCTATTCCCTAAACTCATTTTTTTTCAGTAAGTTTTGCTCCAGCTCAAGGTGACACCATCCATGTATTTTAATATACTCCTACGATTTATAAATATTATTTATAAGAACGCCACATATAAAAATGTTACTACAATAAAAGTGTCCCATCTACTGCTTCTCTTTATCCATTCAGCCCTTTTTCCTGTCAGAGAAGGAAATTAAATTGGTTTGACATGAATTGTTCTCACCAAATATAAGTTGGCTCTGTTTTCTATGCTACATTGTAGGTGGCATAGAAATCAATTACTTCATAAAGTTTACAGTTGGTTTTTTTTTATTTAATAGCATTGGAGGGAATAACAGAATTTAACAACCTTTTTTTTGATCCCAGAGTAACAATACAAAGAAAGGTCATTTGGAATTGAAACAGGTTTCATAATGGAGATATTCAGAGAGGTTTCACATTGCTGTGGTAGCCAGCAGCACAGTAATTACAGAGGTCAGTGGAAGGGGTCATAAAATACCAAATGCAGACCATATGCATGGTCTGTCTCCCAAATTACTTAATTATCCATCAGCATTTATATGTGTTAATGAGTAGGAATCTTTTTTGTATGTAATGCAGAGAGACTTGTTTCATCCCCTCATATTCTCTTATAAATATGAAAGTGGAGGCCTCAAGCATAATTTCCCCCATTTATTTCTTTCATGAAGTCACCAGTGTTTTGTTTTGTTTGGTTTTTTAATTTATGCTTTGGGTTATCCTGTATCAGAAGTAGTTCAATTTTTCTTTTCTGTTAGGAGGCAATGTCCTGATTTTTTCAATAATTTCTCAGGTTATCATTTACTCTAAAATAGAACAAGATGGACCAAACAGACCCAAATCAATAATCCAAGAACAGGAGACGAACGTGGAAATATTCCTAATTGATAGAGAGCCAGCTCTGTAAGGTGAAAACACAAAAGCCCTAGGAAGGAAACACTGCTCCACAAAAGAAGGTGTATATAGTAGGTTATCTTCAATCTGATGATAATGAAGGTTTTATATTTAGGCATCCCAGCACTGTTCTTCTATTTTAAAAATTAGGCATTAAATAAAGG